AGGTAACAGCATTATAATATGTCTTAACGCTAATATAGGACCTTTTAAGTAGATTAACAAACATATTTACATGGTCAAGTGGACTTCACTGTATTAAACTGAAGGTAGTTTACTGTCCCCATAGGAAAATTGTCCTCTGCATTTGACCCGTGCTTCAATACCGCTTGGGTGACTTTTGGGAGCAGACACCTGGAGGATTTTAGCTGTGGTGCATGTTTTGGGCTGATGGGGAAACTGATCCCACGACCTTCTTGTTGTGACAGGACAGTGCTAGCCACTCAACTTGTTATTTGCTAAACACACTCAGTCAAACAGACTTGAGATATCCACTAGTATGTTTCAACATCTCACACTGTCCAGTAATGACTGCAGTGTTTCTTAAGTAAGCCCTTAAAGACTGTGGTTTTCTCACCGTCAGATCAGTAACACAAAACTCTGGTGAAGTGATGAGCTCCCTCTCCACGGCTCCTTCACTGACACTGTAAAAGTCTGCACATGTCAAACAATGCTAACCACATTTACAGTTAGCTGTATTATGTTGTCTTCACAACTGTTCACTCTATCAGCACAACTTTGATGGGCTAAAGAAACCTAAGTGAATGGATTTTCTTCCAGCATGTTGTGAATAAATATGTAACCCTGTGTGAAATGTTTTGGCCTGTTGCTAGGATCACTCCTGTTTGAAGCCTCTGTCAGTGAGCTGTCACTTTTATGAAGCTATGGCCTTAAGCTGTGTTTTCTGCTTTCCCACCCACCAAGGAGGAAAGGGGAAGTGTGTTTTTATACAGCCTGTGGTTTTAATGCATGAATGATGTTGAAAAAATTGTGATTTAAATTTCTTATCTTGGTGGTAAGTTGCTAGTTTAGCCACAGGGCTGACTGATAGTAGAGAAATGTGTCCTCTGTATTTGATCCATCCTTCAATGCTGCTTGAGCAATTTATGTTCTGATTTGTTTTTATTGTGGTTTTAATTTCTTTCTTATTCCGTAAAGCATGGATTACTTTGTGTACGAATTGCACTATACAAATAAACTTGCCTTGCCTTGCCTTACCCAAACTGAAATATTTAACCTTTTGTGCATGGTTTATGTAATGTGGCTGCCAACTGCACAAATAGTCTCTCTGAACACTGTGCTGCTGCTGTCCCAGTGGAGTCTTGTCTTGACAGTGACACAGATGTTTACAATGATACTTTGATAGGAACTTTTGTTAGAATGTAGATGGTCATTATAGCACCATGATTAAAAGTTATCCTTGAGTTATCCTTATTGCTCTATTCCACATTGTGAAGTCATGAAGCAGTAGTTTTCAAGTTAAGGACTACTTTTACTGTTCAGTAGAGATTGGCAGTTCCAGGATTGAAATGATCAAATTGATCCTAATGAAGGTGTATGGATTCTGGAGCACCTCCTGTATTACCACATGACATCACAAAGTGAAACAAAGTGTTTTCTGTTTAAGAGAAGAATTCCTGAATGAAAACAAAACACAACTGCACTTTTGATGAGGAAACAACATTATAACATAGATCAGAAAATAGCCTAATACGGACCATTTAAACGTGGCAGGGTGATCCCTAAACAAGACCAAAGCAATAATCACAATAAAATGTAACTGTTGTGCTCTTCACTTTCTGTTTCCAAAATTCCACACCATTGTTGTGTTGTTGGGCAAGACACTTATCCGATACTTTAGCCTGGTTTAAAGATGCGTTATGCTAAATAAATAATTAAATGGTGATTGCAAGCAGATGAGAGCATTTTAATGCCTGTGTACATAAAAGTGCTTTCATTGTATTACCTCACCTCAGGGTAGAAATGATCGTGAGTTGTCTTGCGATGACATATGCATTAAGAATGTAGTGAAGGCAGTGGCTCATTCTTCAGGTTAATTGTGGAGTTGTTGAACAGTATACCTCTGGCCTATACGGGGCAGGTGTTAGCTGTAAAAGCTAACCCCCACTGTTTACAAGTCCCACAGCCCGAGCACAGGGGAGAACTGAGGATCAATGGGGGACTCCACTGCAGGTAATGTGTCCCAGGTGCTGTCAGTCAGGCATACACGTGAGTGCGCCAAGCAAGCAAGACAAAATAACCTGTCCAGACACACTGGGCCAATATATAGAGTTATGCATTTAAGGAGGTTAAACTCAGACTGTAAATGTAACAGCTTTATAGGCAGCTATATATTTAATTGCAGTAATTTTACACAATGTTTTACTAAGTTGTACTGGAGAATTTTACATGATGTATTATGTAACTTCTCTGGTGGAGGGTCCATCACCCAATTGTCTCCACTGAGATTTAGCTTTGCCTTAAATGTTCTACAGCATAGCATCAAACTTTAACACGATTTGTAATTAATTGAAATCAGTTGTCATTAGTTAAAGTGGTAACATCAGTTTTTGTTACAATAGAAATGTATTTGCGACCTATACACTGAATGGGGCAACGATGCTTAAGAGAAGAGTAAATAAATAGAAAACTAATAAAATAAGTAATAGTAATGATATTAGTGAGTGAAGTTGTTAAAGAAAATTGCTGTAGAAAGGAAAAAACTGAATGAATAGAACCTTTTGTTGGTACTTTTATTACTTGAATGTAGCTCTGTTGAATGTAGAATATGTATTGTAGAACTTCAAAGTAACAATGCTAAACAGGTGTTCCTTCTCCACATAATATTGGCTTATGTATTAAAATAATTTAATAGTTGATTCCCTCATTGACCTCTGTGCTTGGACCGTGAAGATAAACAACACAGATTTAACAAGCGGAAAAAGGAAGAATAAAAGGTGAAAAGTATTTGGATCTGCCAATTCTGTAAACAGTTCCTTTAGAAAAGCTCTTATTACTGAAATGATTATATTAATGAACAATAACAGTTGTTTTTTGTGTGTGACGGACATGAGGCACAGCTGGAGATTGACCTCTTTACAGCTGTATCACATCGAGTCTAAGTTTGAGTCAATACAAGAAAATGAGAAGCTTAGAGTTAATGAGGAAGAGAGATCACTGAAGGGCAGTTGGAGTAACTTATTAAAAAAATAATCTAAGTAAGATACCTTCCATTGCAGTCATCATATTGTGATTGTGGTTGGTAAGGCATCTCATGTAACACGAGAGCAGCCAACTGATTGATAAGAGAAAAAAGTTCAGTTGGAAATCCACACTTGCAAGTGTGAGTGCCGTAGCTTTGCCTGGAAAGTTACCAAGTTACACGTTAAATATACTGTATATATTTATTTATTAGTCTATAATATGGAAATGGCTTGAAAATCATGCATTCTTACTGTGAGCAAGAGTCTCCTCTCCACAGATCTAACCTGATAGGTAATTTTTATGTCGTGTAGAAAAAAAGTATAGTGCACCTTTTAAAAAAAATAAGATGGCAGTGGATTCGCTTTAGCAGAGGATTCAAATGGCAAGAAACGAGACAAGGGGGTAGGTAGTTAAACAAGTTATGTATGTATTTATTTATGTATTAATGTATATCAAGGACAGTGAATATTAATGATCAGTTCTGTAAATACTATCTTTTTTAAATTCCAACATTCCTGACATGAAAAGACTTTAAATGACAGATGGACACACACTACACATTTTGAGAGGAGGCTGATTAGAAAGGTGTTTTTGACGTCACCATGGGCTGGTGCCATAGTTACTGTACAGGTCTCATAAACATAACAGTAGTTTCAGATGGTGGAGTGGAGATTGGAGGTTGCAGCTTGTTTCCTGTCATTTTGATTTAAACCATGAGTCAAACTGATAATAATACCTCAGCAGCTGTATTACAGAGAAGACTCTTATTAAAACTCATGTTGAAATACACTTGAACAATTTGTTTGTGAAGCCAGCGGATACAAAACTTATCACATGATTACATGTTGCTTGCATGGCTTTTCCATAATAATCATATCCTATAATCATATCCTACAACTGTAGGATAGAATAGTGTCTGAGGCTTAGCATACCATGTTTTGAATTACAGAAAAATTTGCAGATAGATCAATGAGGCAACTAAGGTATTCAATCTCCGCTCCAACCAGTGCTGTTGCTGTGTCCTTGTGCTTTATTGGATGCATCATAACATCATCTTTTCAATGCTATTTTGCTTATGGTCTTCTCAAAGCAGACCTATTATGCAAAATCGACTTTCTAAAATAAACTTTTTAGCCATTTTATAGTTGTTTCCCCTCACCATTAACCCTGTATTTGAAGTGATTTGTGCATGTTTGAACAATCTTTTATCACATTTTCAAGACGCATATTGCCACTTAATCCAAGTTTTCACTGCCACTGGCATACACCTATTTACTTCATTCTTCATTTTTATTTTCTTTATCATTGTGCATTCATTTTGGTACAAATGAAAAAGAAAAAAAATGCTGCTCCCTAGTGTGATCTGCAACTATCCATTGGAGGGACCCGCTCTTTGTTGTGGTGACATTTACAGGCTGTCAGCTCCCATTGGGCACCGCAGAATTTTAACGCAGACCTTTTCTTTTATTAACTCATTGTAGATTAATATTGTGATTTAAAATGTGCAAATTATAACATAATGATCCATGGGTGTCAGATTATAACTACATATATAGCACAATAAGCACAATAGGTCTTCTTTAAAGGTGCACTATGTAACTTTTCCCGATACCGCATGCTTGTCTCCATGTAGACAATTCTACTTTGCCTAAAATGGTCCACAATATGTCATAAAACATATCTAACTTACATTTATTCAATTATAGGAGTGTTCGAAGAACCATACCTTGGAACATTCAAAACAAAGCACGGATGGATCTAGAAAAGTTACATAGCTCACCTTTATATTTTTACAACTTTGTCTAAAATGAAGAATAGGATATGCATGCACTCAAGCGTTGGTATTCAGTGATGTAGTGTGTATAAATATTTTTCTTCATACCTTAGCTCTTACCTCTTTTCTTTTAGTGCAGCATTTGCCAAATGTTTCATAATTGTAACAGATTTTTGTGATTTTCCAGAGCTGTCACTGGTCCAGACTCCTGTTGGATAACTGAAGCTGTGCGTGGAAACAGTCTTTGTCTTCTGAGCAGGTTTTATTAGAAATCTTGTGTGCAAGTCATCTACATCCTCTGCGGTCTGCCCCTCCCTCTGCTCCACTCTGTACTGTACAAGTGCAATCTGAGCATGATAAATGAACTGGAAAAAGGGGCACAGCTCTGTCCTGCCACTGAAACACTTATAATCTACTCACTGTATCTGCTGCTGTATGGCTCTTCTCCCTGGACTTCAGTAGAGAATATAGAAGCTCTTGATTTGTTCTCCGTTGTGTCTGCTGCTTTTGGGGTCAATGGGTTTAAGTGCTATGTTATACTCATAGATTGTATAAAGAAATAGCATTCGACTCCAGTCAAATGAAGCTCATGATTCTCGCAGTTATAGAGGCGAATTTGGAGCCAGGTCCATACTAGGAATAGGAATTTATCTATGAGCAAAATAGCTAAATAAAAACACCAACATCATGCAAAGCGGGTTGATACAGACATTTTAAGACCAAAATGATGAGACTCTCTGCAACTATGGTTATACTACTACAATGTGAATATTAATTTTGCCATATGTTTGTGCTAGAATTTGCCTAGCCAGCTAAAACAACATGTTTTTCCAATTCTGTACAGAAATCTAGTCTAGTTTTACCTCCCAGAGTTTGGGGTCTAACAAGGAAAAAAGAAATAATGACACACAGGACTTTAAAACTTTTCAGGACTTCTGTAAAAGCAGTTAACAAAGCAATAAGCATTGTTAATCTGAGGTGAGAGAAGTTTTATTTTGTCACTAAAATAAACTATTTTGATTGCACATCAAGGACTGTTGACTAGACTATAAGTCTTATACGGAGGATTTCAGCGTGCAGGCAAGGCACCCTCCATCCCTCATTACTAGGGTTGTTATTAGTGGATGCTCTACCTGATCTCATTTCTTAAACAGACCACATTAGATATTAGGTCATGTGCTGTTGTCTCAGTGGTGGTACAGTCCTGGGCTTGTTGACTCCATAGTATGTGGTTGAGTCATGGCTCTTGTCAGTGCCTGGTCCCATGTGGTCTTCCTGGAGGTCCTTCTACATCACACCAGTGGAGCTGATGGATGAGGAGCTTAAGCTGGCAATGCAGAGCTCCTGCGTGGAGATAGGACTCAGTCGATAATGATTGGTGAGGGGCTCTCTTGTTGTTTCCAGGTCCATAATCTCTTATGGATTAGTCTAAATCATTACACGCTATGTAATCAATGCTCTCATTATTAATAGTGCCACTTTAACCTTGACTCTTTCATGTTTTTCTTTATGGATGACAACATACAGTTGGAAAATACTAATATATTTCTTAGCTAGGCCTACTGATGTCTGTACCAATGAAGGACCATATTTTTTCGTTTTTATGTAGTCTTTGGTGATTGACTTTTTAGATTGTATGCCCAGTATTTTTAAATTAAATTACGCTTTGAAGAACCTCACCAAAATTGAAATGTGTTTTATGCATAAACAGCATCTAGAGAAAAAGGTCAGGTTTGGGAATGAAGCGTTCTCTTTGCTTGTTTTAGTGTTACATTACAGCAAAATGTCTATATTTGAGGAATTCTCTTTCCTTTCCTTTTTACAAAATACATCATGTGTCTTCTTATTACTTATTTTTGTCAACACTGAACAATTCTACATTACTGACATCTTGTTATTGCCCTTCCTCTTGAAGTCTAAAGCCTAAGATCCACCTTGGAGTCTTCACTACATCTGTAAACATTTGCAAACAACACTGCTTGCAATTTTATGTAAATTAGTGAACAGTTTGTACCTGAATATGAGTGATTGAAAACAAAAATATGGTTGTTATTGTCTTTTTATGACCGGTAAATCCCAGCTGAAAGTACACATAGAGTCTAGTAGTAGTTTTACCAAAGCCTTTTCTCTTTAGTGGATCTTAAATGGGGGGTGCAGAATGATATCATAGCGGCACATGGAGCCAGATGTTTGCGTGGCATCTGCTCGTGAGTTTCTGTGGCTTTCTTCACATTTAAACAAATAATGGCTCAGATCTGGCATTTGTCTCAGGATGGCGAGGTGGGCACCGTCAAGTTGTCTGTACAAAACCTGTTTCAGATGTCCTCCATGCAGCTCAGCTCAAGGACCTGTTTTCACATTGGGCGTTTCATTTCTGCATGGATTCTCATTGGAATGTATTCATATGATTGAGGTGCACTGACTGATATATAATAAATATGGAACACTTTATGGATTTGGTTTTATCAAACATGTTGCTTAAATCATATATATTTATGCCCATATTATGCTGTTTTCTGATCTATGTCATAATGTTGTTTCCTCATCAAAAACATACCTGGATTTGTGTTTTGTTTCATTCACAAATATTTAATATACAAACACTGCATGCCCTATCCCTTTTAATAAATAAATATAAATATCATTTGGATAACTTCAGTCCTGGAATTGCCCAGCTGAACTAAAGGTAAAAGGTAGATGTTCACTTGGAACGGAGCTTTTGAGCTTTTGAGATGTAGACAAATAATGCAGGAATGCAGGATAACTCAAACGTGTGAATGAAACACAACTCCAGGTATGTTTAACATTATAACGTGGATCAGAGAATTGCATAATATGGGCCCTTTAAAGTTTGAGTGAGACAATTGTTTTTCTGTCGTGGATCAGAGAATTGCATAATATGGGCCCTTTAAAGTTTGAGTGAGACAATTGTTTTTCTGTCATAAGACATAGAGGGGAGGATCATTCTCATGCTTTTTTACTTTTGGATGACTTCTAACTATGAGAGAAAGGAGGAACTCTTAATCCAATCCAAAGGTGGGACTGTTTTTGCACCTCTTGTTTAGTTGATGTGCCAGTTCTGTGTATTCCAACATGACCACTGTAATAATGTAATAATGTAAATGGCGCTTATAGAAATTCACTTGTAACAAGGTAGCATCATGTGACAGAGTTAATATATCACTATAGCGTGTGAATCAGTATGTGCTGGTTTTCTACAGATTCTGGGCGTTTTCATTTTCAAAACATATTTGTTTTGGACCTGATCAGAGAGCAAAACGATTCCTGAAGACACATTTCAGGCTAACACAGGCCAACCGTGGTGGGATAAGATGTATTTTTTTAAAAAGTGATTCAGTGTCTGTGGATGCCAATGAAAATTCAATCATTTGAAAATCGTTTTGTGTGCCATGCGTTTTTGTACTATTGGTTTGCCTTGAATGTTCCACACTATGGCATTAAGCATCTTATACACAATTACAGATTCTTTTTTCATGGGGGGAAAAGCAGGCTTGCCTCTTCATGGATCTGACCTGTTACTTAAAAGTGCTGTTACTGTTACTTTTAAGGTCTGCTACCTACTTGACAACAATTAAATGTATACATCTAGTATTTATTCAATATGGGTGTTTCTATTGCTCAAAAATACAGTAATTCCTTCTGTACATAGGGGAGACTCTCCACAGATCTGAATTATAATGTAACATAGTAGTTGCATGTGGCGGACTTGGACCTTCTACTTGCAACACAGTACACCATTAAGACATGTTATATATTTTTGTTCTATTTTATGACCAATCAGTGTTCATATGCATAAATTAAGTCATCTACCCAATAAACCTGTGGCAGGGTTTTGGACAGCACTGCTACTAAATGTAGTTGACACAATAACCATTACATCTTTTATTTACAAAGGGAAATGTGTATTACCAAATTAATTTAAATGCATGTGTTTGGATTGTGACAGGATAGCCCCCTGTCCTGTGTAGACTGTTTGACTTCAACCTGCTGAGAGACTGAAGATGGAAATTGGTCACACTGGCTATCACTGTTACATATATACATGTGTTCATCACAGTTTCTATATTACACAAAATAGACTCTTTCAGCCATGTGTTGTTACCTCATCAAAAACAGAAGTGCAGTTGGGTTTTCCTTTATTCGCACATATTTGAGTAACTATTTATTGTTAGTCTGTCTACATCTGCAAATCTCAAAATGCTCTGTTCCATCTTGTGATGTCATGAAGTGGTTTTCAAGTTAACAGCTATGTTTTAGCTTTAGTTCAGTAGAGATTGGCAATTCCAGACCTGAAACTATTAAAACAATTTTAGTGAAGGTGTATGGAGTTAATAAACACAGTGGAGCACTTCCTGTATTATTACCACATGACATCACAAGGTGGATCAAAGTGTTTTCTGTTGGAGAGAAGACAGCTTACATATGCAGTGTTTGTGTGTTATAATGTGTGACTGAAAAAAACACAACTCCTGGAAAGTTTTTGATGAGGGAACAACGTTATAACATAGATCAGAAAATAGCATAATGTGGGCCCTGTAGGGTCTGCAGTGATGCGGTCGCTGTATCGGACCGTTGTGGTGAAGCGGGAGCTGAGTCGAAAGGCGAAGCTCTCGATTTACCGGTCAGTCTTCGTTCCTACTCTCACCTATGGTTATGAGCTTTGGGTAGTGACAGAAAGGATGAGATCGCGGATACAAGCGGTCGAAATGAGTTTCCTCCGCAGGGTGGCTGGGCGCTCCCTTAGAGATAAGGTGAGGAGCTCAGTCACACGGGAGGAGCTCGGAGTAGAGCCGCTGCTCCTCCACGTAGAGAGGAGCCAGTTGAGGTGGCTCGGGCATCTATTCCGGATGTCTCCTGGGCGCCTCCCTCGTGAGGTGTTCCGGGCATGTCCCACCGGGAGGAGGCCCCGGGGAAGACCCAGGACACGCTGGAGGGACTATGTCTCTCGGCTGGCCTGGGAACGCCTCGGGGCCCCCCCCGGAGGAGCTGGAGGACATGTCTGGGGTGAAGGAAGTGTGGGAGTCCCTGCTTAGGCTGCTGCCCCCGCGACCCGGCCCCGGATAAGCAGACGAAAATGGATGGATGGATGCTGTCCATATGTCCACATATGCTGTCCATAATAAATAAATAAAATAAGAACTACATAAGACACACAACCACACAACCACATTTTAGCAAAAAATAAACTAAACATTTACACTGAAAAAGCTGGTCATATCATGTTGATCTTAATGCCCCAGGACAGTTCAATTATATGAATTTAATCCCTGTGCGACTTAGGAGTGGTCTCTGAGACTGAAAAATAATACCACAATTTTCAGTCTGAGTACTTATTACTCATTCATGCTGGGAATATACGGTCAAACACAC